TTTTTTAGCTAACTTAGTTGTTATTCTTGGCTGAATAACTCTAGAGGGTTTTAAAAGCCCTTTTAAATTAAATATGTACACAGTTTGGATTAAATGAAAGTATAGTAAAACATTTTAATTAGCATGTTTTTGTGTTTTGCTTTGGTACCGAAATTGGTACAGAGAACCGTGGACTTTCACTGGTATTGGTACCGAATACTGACATTTTGGTACTGTGACAACACTACCTGTATGTGTTTAAAAAACATGAGGGAGAATAAAATATAAAGCTCTTGCTTGAATGGGTGTCGTTTCTTACCTTGTGGATGAAGTTTTCTATTTTGGTTTGCAGGCCCCACCACTTGAACTTGACGGTGACTAGTTTGTACGCACACATACGAGGGGCGTCCGGCTTAGCCAAGAGCTCTTTCTGTTCAGGGAGAAATCACACATGGGCTTTATATGGAACTGAATTAATCGGGAACAAAAATCTCTGATAAATTAACTAATATAATACAGCCACTCACCTTCCAGTCCGGTCCTAAAGGTCCCCGGCCTGTTTTCACTGATTGAAAGATTGCTGGGTCCTCTTCCTGTTTATAATCCTGAGAGAACAACAACTGGGTCACATGTGTTTTCTTTATGGTTAATATTTCTCCACATTGTCTTGGTCAAGTCAGCTTAGATGTAATTCCAGAGATGGATATTTTATTTTGATAAAAAAAATCTATAAATCAAAACATTTTAATTTATCACCAATTACCAGGGACATTCAGAAAGTAAAAATGGTCAATTTTGATTTCATGTTATCAGTGTGGTCAACTACTCAAAGTAGCTAAAGCCTGCTTAAACAGTTGCTAGATGACGCTATGCGCTAATTAACATCATGACATCATACCATATTTGTATATAATATATATATATAATTTTTTTTTTTTTTTAAGTATAATAAAATAGAAAATAGTTATTTTAAATTGTAATATTTCTGTTTTTACTATATTTTTTATCAAATAAATACAAAATAAGGGAGAGTAAAAGACTTCATTCAAAAATATATAAACAAAAATACAAACTTTTGACCAGTAGTGTGCATGTGAAGTGATCCCTCAAGAGTCGCAAGACTTCTTGTGTAGTTAGTAGTTAGTTTTGTGTGTGTGTGTGTGAGAGAAGAGAAATGCATGAATAAATGAATAAATAAAATAAAATAAATAAAATAAAGTGCTAAATGATTCTTTAAGAGAGTCGCTAGATTTATGGTGAGATTAAAATAGTTCAAAAGTCTGGGGTCAGTAAGATTGTTTTTAATGTAAATTTCATATACTATAAATCATAATGATCACTCAGAGAGTTGCTTGATTTGTCAATAGGTGCTTTTTGAAAAAAATAAGTTGCTAAAGGTGTCTGAAAAGGTAACAATACGTTATCTTAAAAAACACCTTCCCACCACCTTCAGTTTGGGAATTCCCATCATTTCCGTCTTTTCACACTAGTGCGCACACTCGCGCGCTACCTTTTAATCTCTCAAACCTCGGTGCTGAGTACCGTGAACATATGGGAATAAGGATTAACCTGAACCAGGACTGATCCACTTAACTAATTAAAGATATGAAGCATAAAAGCGCTGGGGCCTGGGAGGAGCAGTCACTTCAGCGCCCCTCTACAGTGAGCAGGTCAGCAGGAGATGAAGAGGAGCAGATAACCAACACACTCCTGCTAGTCAACACACCACGACGCTGGACTCCAGTCAAACGGACACAGCTGTATTTATGCACTCGGCACAGAGCCAGAATGAGGTCACATGGAAACGCATTTGGATTTATTCAAAGCAACTGATGTTTGACGCAGTGTGCGTGTCTGCTTGTACACGGCACCTAGTTTGTTTGATCTTGAGGCTTGAGTTTTTAGCAGCGATGTCTACAGCTTCAAACAGACCAGATTGTGCAGTAAACTCTGCCGCTTACAGCAGGTTCAGGTCTCCCTGCTGTAGATAAAGATAAGAAGAAGCCTTCTTGGTAAACTATTGAACCTCGAGTAATGCAGGTTAGAAGGGCAATGGTCCACACGCTCTAATGTCATGTCACCCTAATCCAGTCTTATGTAACACGCCGGCTAAAGGCTGAATCACAAGTCACACACTAGCACGTCCCAAATCACAGCACACTGGAAACAGTTGGCTAAAAGTGCCATTTCTGGTGGATTTTTAATGTCTATGTTTTTAGGCTAACATGGACTCTAAATTTGTGTGCTACAGGAGGAGGAATTTGTGACGTTGTGATTTGTTTGTATGAACCTAATCAATAATGAAATTAATTTAGATACACTAATACTTACATGCAAACAAACAGCATGCAACAAAGGGGTTTGTTGTATTAAGACAATTTTATGACATAGTAATATGATAAATAGTGCTGTGATGTCTTGCTACAAAGTACATGCACTACTGTTTAAAAGTTTGGGGTCAGCGAGATTTTTTATGTTTTTGAGTTTCTTCTGCTCACCAAGACTTCATTTATTTGATTAAAAAATGAGTGAAAACAGTAAAATTGTGAAATATTATTAATATTTAAAATAACTGTTTTCTATTTGAATGTATTGTAAAATCTAATTTATTCCTGTGATCAAAGCTGAATTTTCAGCATCATTACTCAAGTCTTCAGTGTCACATGATCATTCGGAAATCATTCAAATATGCTGATTTGCTGCTCAATAAATATATTTTCATATATATTTTGTAACATTTTAAATGTCTTTACTGACAACTTCAATTTAATGCATACTTAATTTCTTTCAAAAACAAAACAAAAAATCTTACTGACCTCAAACTTTTTGTGCAGGGAATATTACATAAAACACAATATTAAACTAAGTGGATAAATCAGATTTTGCCAATTTGAGATGATCTGCATCAGCCGATAAGCATTTATGCATGAGCGATTAACACAAGCACAATGGTTGAACACTAAATGAGCCTCAAATAGTTCCAATGGTCTCATTTAATGCATGATTTTATCCAAAAAGGACTCACAAATGAGGAACATCACACCAAAACCTCTAATGCAAAAACAGCTTAATGCATTGCAGCAGAGGGCGGGGTTATGCAAATTAGTTGCCACGTGTTGGATATCAACAGTCCATTTTTGAATGCCAGCTGACCACAGGGTGACCAGCAGGGATGGACTATAAGCTTTATATTCAAAATGGGTATTGCTACTAAAAGGCACAAAGAATGTGTGCAAATGAGATCAGAACATTTGTAGACTGATGTAAAGTGAACTCACTCCAGGTTCAACGTGAGACCGATCGGCTATATCGATATGCACGACTTCGACCGTCTTCCATGTGGTGGGATCCAGATCATGTACCTGTAATTGGGCACAAACAAACACAAAAAACATCAGCTTGAGCATGAGATTACAGATGCATTCAAAACATCAAAAAAACTAAGAAACGTCTCACTCACATTCTCTAAAGAGCCCGTGTCAGGTTTGTGCCAGGTTTCAATTTTAATCATGAAGTCATCTTTCATGTATTCGTTCTGAGGAGAAGATACAGTGTTGTTTACATTCATGAAATGCGGTTTTATCACAAACAGCAGCATAAGTTCACTTTAAACTGTGGTTTAACAGCGCATGCAATGCAAATATGTTTCTAAAGGGTAATCTGAGGTCCAACAAGTTTAGAGCAGTCCAAACCGCATGTTTTTAAACTGGCTTTAATGCTGGAGGGAACGAGTTCCTAGAAAACAGGAAGTAAATAGGCTGTACTCCAAGTTCTAGGTAAACTGGCGTTATGATTGGTGTGCTGAACTAAAATAAACACACATACAGTGGTCCCAAAACATATTCAGACACTTGAAGGAATAGTTCAGCCAAAAATGAAAACTTGCTAAAAATGTCCTCACCCTCAGGCCATCCAAGATGTAGATGAGTTTGTTTTGTTCGTGGGAACAGATTTGGAGAAATTTGGCATTACATCACTTGCTCAACAATGGATCGTCTGCAGTGAATGGGTGCCGTCAGAATGAGAGTCCAAACAGCTGATAAAAACATCACAATAATCCACACCACTCCAGTCCATCAGTTAACATCTTGGAAACCAAAAAGTTTTAATTTGAAACGTCACTTCTGACCAAAAAATGAGTCCATAATCCATAATAACACTTCCTCCAGTGATGAAGTCCATCTCCTGTTGTCCTCTCACATCAAAATCCACACACATATTTGTTTAGAGCTGTTTGGGACTGTTTTCACTTATAAACGGTGTTTGATCTGTGCATATTTCTCTCCTAATTCAGACGAGAAAACTTGTTCTTTGAAGAAAGCAATATTATGGATAGAGGACTCATATTTTAGCCAGAAGCAATAGTTTGAAGTTAAAAAAAATGTCTTAATGATGGATTTGTTTCTAACAAAGATGCAGCTTTTGGCTTCAGAAGTCATTAATTGATGGATTGGAGTGGTGTGGGTTACTTGTGGATTATTGTGATGTTTTTATCAGCTGTTTGGACTCTCATTCTGACGGCACCCATTCACTGCAGAGCATCCATTGGTGAGCAAGTGATGCAATGCTACATTTCTCCAAATGTGCTCCAGTGAAGAAACAAACTCATTTACATCTTGAATGGCCTGAGGGTGAGTACATCTTCAGCAAATTTTCTTCAGCTGGACTATTCCTTTAAGCCACACTTAGAAGTATGAGTGTCATCGCGTGCGATGACAAAATAATTATTTATCAAACAGAAAGATGGCACACGTGCACTTTGCAAACAAAAGTTTTGACAAAAACAAGTCACAAGAAACTATAAAGACATGCAAATACAGACACTTAATCTGATGCAATGACATTCACACACTTACAAGCATGTCTGAATAGTTTTTAAAGTCACTGTGTCAATTCACACGCTAAGAATCAAATAATGTGACTCGATCAAAAACAACTTTTACAAACTGCAGGCACTTCATAGTAAATGATCATGCACTAAAGTTTAGCGTACAGTCATAATGACAGCTAGTGTTCGTACTTACAGTCACAACTGAGGAGAATGGAGCAGCATGCAAAAATAAAAGAAGAAAAATAATCAGGTGACACAAATAAACCATTCATATTTCCACTGTCAAAACAGACCAAAACAAATGAGGCCCGAAACATACTCGGAGTACATAAATGCAAACCGTTACAGCCACGAAATATGTCAGAGGTCAATTCATAATGCAACTCAAGTATGCACAGCCTTCTTAGTGTATCAGACACTACGGGTCTCAGTCATTTAACCAACTTAATGTTGGCTAAAAACAACAGGGTTTAGCTAGGCATGCTTTGGTTGAGTAATCATGTCTGCGTTTGCATACTTGCCGAGTATGTTTCCGGCCTAATTCTTTACCAAACGGCACATGTGAGAACTTCGTGAAACAATCAAAACACATTGTACACACATGACGTCTGTGCCAATATGTAATTCATTACATATTGTCGTATGCAATAAAAACATAATAGTGACTGATTGTGTGGTATAACGGATGAAAAGGTTTCCAACTCACTTGTGCGGCAGTATGGATAAGCATTCCAGGCCTTTTCATGGAAAACTAATGCCCCCTCTGGTGCGATCATCTTCACAAAGCCTGGCACTTTACTGGATGAATGCAAAACACAAGAGTAATGAAGCAAAGCCGGAGTAATTATTTACAGCTTCGCGTTAAGTTGAATGGCTTGTCATCTGATAATATGCTGCAAAACACTTGAGATGCGTCACATCTGACAATACTAAACCGTAGGTGGTGTTAGTAACAAGAATTAAAAAACAAGTCTGCAATTACAGAAAATTACTAACTTGACAAAACTATTAAAGTATAACTATTACAGAATAAAACGACCCATTTTTACCTCTTTAAGTGGTAGATTTTGTGTGTGTATTGTCCCTTCTCGCCTTCCTTCTCATAGGGTTCATTCTTGAGCACTTCAATGCCCTCTCCTCCACCCGTCTCGTTTTTACTGGCCTCAGCCACCGAGAAAAGCTGCCCGACTTGATACTGCAATGGCAGAGAGAAAAAGGTGAGGTTTGATAGATCAGATGGTAAGAGATGATATAACCACACTTAAAACTCAATACCAAATCAAAGGTGACTATTGATCTTTCTATGAACCCTATGAAATAAAAACTGGAGTTTAGTCCAGGTCTATTATAGTTAACTAAAACTGAAACCATAAAAAATTTGTTGCTTACAGTGTTATTTTAGTATCATTGAGACACTTTTTAATTTATAGTTTTATTTAATATTTTGAATGTTTTTATATATATTTCGACTTTAAAGTTTTAGTCATTTTGTTCAGTGTTTGTCATTTTTAGTAGCTTCTGTTTTTTCTGTACTTTTTAAGTCATTTTTATTACATTTATCTTAGTACAAGTCAAACTAAATTAAAATGAGAAATGTTGCCTTGACAACTAGCTGAAATAATTTGTTATATTTGTATTATATTATTTATTATATTAAATTATATGAATATTTATATAAACGTTTATTTTATTTCAAGTAATGATTTTTTATATTATTTTAGTTCCAGGTTAATTATAATAACCCTGGTTACCTGAAATAAAATGTACATTAATTAAAAAAAACAAACAAAAAAATATTTTATTTAAGCTAGCTGCCAAGGCAACATTTTTATTTAGTTTAATTTGATGTACTAAAACAACTAAAAGTGAAATAAAATAGAAACTATATAGAAAAAGTACAGATGAACAAAATACTAAAATGACAAAAACAAACACACACAAAAAGTATCTCACTTTAAAATTAAAATGAGAAATATAAAAAAACTAATTCAGAATATGAATAAAAACTATAATAGTATCTCTCTTATACTAAAATAATTTTGGTTTCGTCCGTGTCTTTGAGGTCATCTTTATGCTAGTGCACTCATAAAAAGTCCTCTTGGAAAATAGATTTTAATCTTAAAAGAAGTTTTTAAATTTTTTATTTTATCTTATCTCTTAAAATTAGTACTAGTGGATCTCACATGCATGAATACACAAACCCTACAGACTTCATATAGGAAACGCACTCAGATCAGTGTCTGTGGAATTAAACAGCTCTCGTATAATTAAAATACGTCCCTTCCAGCAGTTCCAGATATGAAGACAAAGCTTTGCATTGTGACTGATTGATGCCTTAAAGGGACATTATAGTAAAACCACTTTTACAAAGGCAAACAGGGAACTGATGTAGATATATGCATGAATAGTTAAGCTAGGCTTTGGACCAGGGTTATTATAGGTAACTAAAACCATAAAAAAATATGTTAGTTTAACTTGATGTACTAAAACTAATGCTGAAATAAAAGCTATATAGAAAGGTTATTACAGTTAACCAAAATTAAAGCTGACACTAAAATTAAAACCATTAAAAATGTCTCTTGAAATAAAATGAAATAACTGAAATAAATGAACTGGAAAAAAACAACACATTTAAATAAATATTTATATTGAAATAAATGTTTTAAATAATTATTTCAACTATTTGCAAAGGCAACGTATTAAATTTTTAATTTATATATTATATATATAAAATACTAAAAATGACATGACAAAATTACTAAAATTTTAACTAAAATTTACATTAAAATGGAAAGCACATAAATTTAAAACCGATTCAAAATAAAAACTGTAATAGTATCTTAATTAAGGATGCACCGAATGTTCGGCAACCAAAATAGTTTGGCCGAAAATGGCAAAAAAAGCTCTTTCAGTGTTTGGAATAAGCGAAAAGACCGAATAAATTGTACCGAACAATGACGTGACGCGATCAAACAGAGGCTAATGCAGCAAACATTTCAGCAGTGTGTAAGGATTTAAAACTGTCAGAGAAAGACAAAAAAATCAAGCTGCGCTGAAACGGTGTTACTGTCAGTTGCTCAGTAACATTTTTATGAATTTTTACAAGGCATGGCTGTGACAATGTGATACGTGCGACAAACATTTTCCTTATCTTAGTACAAGTCAAACTAAATTAAAATGAGAAATGTTGCCTTGACAACTAGCTGAAATAATTTGTTATATTTGTATTATATTATTTATTATATTAAATTATATGAATATTTATATAAACGTTTATTTTATTTCAAGTAATGATTTTTTATATTATTTTAGTTCCAGGTTAATTATAATAACCCTGGTTACCTGAAATAAAATGTACATTAATTAAAAAAAATAAAAATAAAAATATTTTATTTAAGCTAGCTGCCAAGGCAACATTTTTATTTAGTTTAATTTGATGTACTAAAACAACTAAAAGTGAAATAAAATAGAAACTATATAGAAAAAGTACAGATGAACAAAATACTAAAATGACAAAAACAAACACACACAAAAAGTATCTCACTTTAAAATTAAAATGAGAAATATAAAAAAACTAATTCAGAATATGAATAAAAACTATAATAGTCTCTCTTATACTAAAATAATTTTGGTTTCGTCCGTGTCTTTGAGGTCATCTTTATGCTAGTGCACTCATAAAAAGTCCTCTTGGAAAATAGATTTTAATCTTAAAAGAAGTTTTTAAATTTTTTATTTTATCTTATCTCTTAAAATTAGTACTAGTGGATCTCACATGCATGAATACACAAACCCTACAGACTTCATATAGGAAACGCACTCAGATCAGTGTCTGTGGAATTAAACAGCTCTCGTATAATTAAAATACGTCCCTTCCAGCAGTTCCAGATATGAAGACAAAGCTTTGCATTGTGACTGATTGATGCCTTAAAGGGACATTATAGTAAAACCACTTTTACAAAGGCAAACAGGGAACTGATGTAGATATATGCATGAATAGTTAAGCTAGGCTTTGGACCAGGGTTATTATAGGTAACTAAAACCATAAAAAAATATGTTAGTTTAACTTGATGTACTAAAACTAATGCTGAAATAAAAGCTATATAGAAAGGTTATTACAGTTAACCAAAATTAAAGCTGACACTAAAATTAAAACCATTAAAAATGTCTCTTGAAATAAAATGAAATAACTGAAATAAATGAACTGGAAAAAAACAACACATTTAAATAAATATTTATATTGAAATAAATGTTTTAAATAATTATTTCAACTATTTGCAAAGGCAACGTATTAAATTTTTAATTAAACTTAATGTACTAAAATAAATAAAACTAAAATTATATATATGTATATATATATATATATATATATATATACACACATAT